ATTCTTATCATCGGCTTTGTTATAAATTCAAATATGACCATTTTTAAATTATTCCATACCAATTAACGACTTTACCCAAAGAAGACCACAAGCTCGAATCGTGGTATATCAACTTTATGGAAATATAAGTGTTTTAATTTTCGCCATGCTATCGATAATTTCTGAATAATTTAATATGAATCTTATATTTTATCATTATTTGAAACAAACTACAGACATAAAAGATCCCAGTACTCTTGCCACACAAACCACGAGATGGCGCGATGTTTGATTGTTAATGATTTACTATCAAGTTAGGCACCTTTAACTTCAATTCTACAAATAAAAATACAAGAAACTAGTATTGAATAGCTATGATCCTCTGGTTAACATAGAAATAATTTAACAGTAAAAGTTTCATGTTCGAAATGTTAAAAAACATTTTTTCTTACAGAAATCAGTTCTTATAAATAATTGTATAGCGCGTAGCTGGTACACGCAAGAAGAAAGCGTAGTTTGAAACAGACATCTAACAGCCTTTACGCGTAAAATACAGAATAAAAGAAGGTTTGTGACCAGGGGCGTAGCAACTGTCCCCGCAGACCATACGGTGGGGAGGGACACACGCTAAATAGGGGCCCATAACAAATCGAATATTAAGGGGGCCTGATGGGAAAATTCGCAGGGAGAAGGGACACTGCACTACTCCTCTGTTAGTGATTGAAAAATGTATTATATAGTGTTACAGAAATATTGATTTATACAGCCTGTAAAAGTGGGTCTGGGAGTAAGATTTGTAGTTTGACTCCTGAACTACACGTCTATTACTAGTGTAAGTAAAATGGAACAAAAAAAGAGAATTCATTTAGGAGTGTAACTTAGCGCTTGGATGAAGTGGGTAATGTGAAATAAATAAGTAAATATTAAACAGGAGATTTTACAAAGAGCTACTTTGTTCTCCCAACTTTATAGGAGACCACAACAATGTTATGGGTTCCTGTTTTATTTTTCTGCCATCGGTTCGCACATCAATCCTCTCGCGGCCGCGTGATGCATTCAGCAAGAGACTGACTGCATTGTCACATGTCGGTCACGCGCCGTTAAAACGCAAGTGCGCTGACGTCATATTTCATATCTAGCTGAATGCTGCCACAAAAGGTTTCCTAACGTAAGTATAATGAACCACAATAGTGGTTCATATTAGGGATCGCACAATAATTTTTAAAAAATTAATAGAACATACGGGCAAAAGTCATCTTGAAACAACAGTCAAGATCTTCTATCTTAATGGCTAAGACTGTTAAAATATTGATAATAGCATCTGATCTTTATATTATTAACATTATTCATAGTTTCTTGTTTCATAAGCCTACAGAAAAAACGGCTTTGAATATCTTATTCAAACCTGAGCAAACCTACTAAAAAACGCCTGCATTAGTTATATGACTATTTTTATGTTGATTATTGAAAGAGAAGGGGAGGTTTTATCAGTTTTGCATCGCTACTGCCCAAGTTTCTCTTCGAAGCCATTTAAGTACTGAAGCCTACATAAAAAACGGCTAGGTATACTGTGCCAAAATCTATGCACAGCCACTAAATAAACTCCTTCAAAGGTTGTAGAGCTATCTTTAAGTTTATTCTTGAAAATCGAGTTTTCCACTCTCTAAAATTTTCTAAGTTCTTCTTCGTTACCAACATAAGTTCTTCGAACCCATTCAAGCATCGCAAAAATATAAAATCCATTTGAGCACCATTAAACTAATCGGAAATACTCCGTTTCATGCTAGATAGAGCCACTTCGTTTTATTACAGTAAACACTGTGTATATTTATAACAGTGTTCCAGCCTTATTATTATTGATTATAGTTTTACAAGCCGCTACAGAAAAAACGGCTACGAATATTTACTGAAACCTGAACAATAGTAATGAATGCAGTATTGAGTATGTCATAGGGTAGTTTTTAAATAAATTCAAGCGTCTTCGTTTATTCATCCTGAAGGATTTCTCTAAGTCCTTCACCTTCCGCCATTAAAATAAATCCGGTGTTTTACTAATGCGCATTAATTGGAAAATAATCTGCAAACTTATAGCGCATTGATTGGAAATTGCCACGTTGAGGACTCATTATTTCTCGAGTTCGCTGCGACTATTTCAGTGAGTTTTTAACAGTAGACGATTACCATAGTAGATTCTCTACACTTGTCAGTAGTGATTTATTATACTGATTTTCTTACTTCCCTAAAATTGTAAGTGCCTATTTAGTATTATTTTGTCATTACTATTCATATGTTTGTTTCACAAGCATACAGCAAAATTGGATGGGTATTTTGCACCCAAACCTAGACTTATATGAAACTCTGCGAATGTCCATGACCTATTTAAAAAGTTTATTATTTTTCATTGAATATTGATCAGAGGGAGAACAGCCAGGTAGTAGCATCTGTCATCGCAAGACTTTATCCGACTCTTTGACAAAAAAAAAACATTAGAATTCAGTATTAATTTTATAACTGGAAGCGTTCAGTGGTATTACGTCTCGAACCTTGGGCCCTGATAAATTAAACTAAGCTACGCGCGGTCCTTTTATTATCTTGTTAGAATCTAAATAACCTTACACTTTTGAATTATGTCTGCAAGAATATCATTAGGTTTTTATTAATTGTCTGGAGTTTAAGAGAGGAAACAAATCAAATTAACTCTTCTGAAGCGGTATAAATCATTCTTTTAGAGTATATTTCAACAACCAGTAAGTAATCGCATAATAAAAATATAAAGTAAAAAAAAACATATTATTTATTATACGTTTGACCAAGTTAAAACTTTTTAGTTTTAGGCTGTGTTTTTATAATAATGTAGATGTTGACTATATTATATCAAAACAGAAAAAGTCTCGTTCATTATAGATCTATTCAGCTGTCATGGAAACGTGCTTTGATGCTGACCAGTAGGAGCTAAAATATAAAATGTAAAGTAACTACGAGAAGTCGCATTTTAATATGAGGTAGTGTTTAAAATTTGCATATCTAAAACTTCACTTAAAATATATTTCATTACTTTGTGTCTATTTTTTTCCTTCAATAAAAATTTAAAGCAGTTAGTTGCTCAGTGGATTTCGTATTAAAAAAATCTCCCTTATAAAAGTCAGTAATGACAAGTCGTAGATTATTAACAGGGATACTTCTGTAGTTTAAAGTAGCAAACTTCATATTTATATTGACAACCCCGTATTCATGAGGCACTTAATCCATTTACTACCCTGCCAACAAGGATGACGTGCATGACACTCCCCACTAGTTTAAAGTATTCATGTAATCACTTAAGTGTATTGAATCGGTTTCTGTGTAGGAAAAGCGAACTATTTAAGAACCATGTTGCCTACAAATCCGTCAGCTTTAAACCCAAGTCAGTCTCATCAAAGAGACGAATTATCCAATAGCATGAAAACCCCTGGTCCTCAGAAAAAGTACAATCTCGAAACCCAAAAGAGCTACTTTCGTTTGCCAAATAAAATGAGAATATTTTGTGAACAATGTTGCAATAATGAAAGTAATTTTGTATAATTAGTCATATCTCACTACTCAAATAGTAAAAATTTCGCGTCATAGTGACTCAGACTGTAACAATTTCGTATCTCTCTGATTCAATTGGTAACAGTTTCGTGTCTCACTGAATCAAATGGTAACGATTTTGCGCCTCACTGACATAAATGGTGACAAATTCGTGTCTCACTGACTCAAATAGTAACAATTTCGCGTTTTGGTATATTTCTCTAACATTTGTGTATCTTCGAAATGAGAAAGAGACCCTAAGAAAACTCCATCATTAACTCTACACTATATAAAGCTTTCTTCGCTTCGTTATGGAAACATGGTATGTGTGAATATTTGTACATTTTTGAGAAAGTAATGACTTTTAAACGAAGGAAGATATAAACAAACCTAAAGGTAGATGTCGGTCTACCTATCCTCAGGTTTAATACAACCTTCACATGACCTCTGTTGACTTCAGTGCACTTCTGTGGACGTTTTCGCTATTTGTCGAGCATACCACCAAAGTACATATTTTCGTCAAACATGCCACCAAAGTATGTATATTTTGTCGTACATATTTTTGTCAAGTATGCCACCAAATTACGTATTATGGATTTTCATTTGCTGTTTTCTTCAGGTAGTTGGACGTCAGATTTTACGATGTAAACTTGATGTGTCACTCTAAAGTCCAGCTGCGCTACGTTTGCAGAGGGCAGTGCCAAGAGTACAGTCAATCCAACAATTCACGAGGACTTCACTAGTGGCTCAGAAGGTGGTAACGTGTTTTATTGAAAGAAGCACGTGCCATTAACACAACCATTTCCCAGAATATTTACACTTTTGAAGTGGCATTTTATACACTTACTCTGGGTTATCCAGCCAGTGATACTCTTGGGACTCAAAGATTCTCTGTTCTTAAGTTGCTTAAACCAGACTTGCAAATCCTCTGTACTTAAACTATTTAAGCCAGACTCTCTGATTCCCTCTCCTTAAACTACTTAAACCGTCATTTAATTACGTTGTTTGGTGGTTTTTGTGCACGGCAAAGTTGCCATATTTTACAAGAGTTCAACAGTCTTGAGTCCCACGTACCACACAGAATATTCTGTGTTTTTCTATCTGTTTTCAAAACTTCTGTCTTGATTTGAATCAAAACTTGCTACATGAACAACAATTTGAGGAGTTTAGACTAATATAACTTACCGTACGTTTTTATGTTTCGTCGTAGAAATTTTATTACCTTTTATAATAATTGCCGCTGTATATAGACATTTTGTCTGTGGAGATCACACAAATGTTAACTATTTTAATTTCAGTATAACTAATCATTCTTATTAGACATATTTATTATTTTGTTTTAAACACGTTAAAATATTATTACACTGGAACCGAAGGTTACACTCTTGACTTTGGAAATATCAATGAATATATATATATATATAACTAATTAAATAGTACTTCAAATATATGTATATATGTTTTCTTCCTACCTTCGCAGTGCCACTTGTGCAGCCATAACTCTTTGCCTTTCTACCACTAGGAGGCAGTTTGGACATTGACAGTCGCGCCATCTACAGAATCGTTTGTGACCCTTTAAACAGGATACCACTCCATGGTTTCGGCAGCGGGCACACTTTGGAGTTCGTAAAAGACGTCGTGCTGTCTTCGTGCTACACTCAACGTCCACATCCTCTTCGGGTATATCCGAGGAACCGCCCGGACTAGGTACCGAAGTGCTGTCGGCAATCGCCTCCTCCGAATCGGAAGTCTCCATGCCGAGAGTTTCAAGTTGTTTCCCACAAGTTACAAGTCAAACGAAGATAAAACTCTGAAATTTGTAGTAAACTTTTCAAACCATTTAGTCGCAATAAAGCAAAATATGGATATAATATCTTATAATAAAGCATTATGATCTAAAAAATAATAATACGTGACAAAATACTGATTTTTGATATTCATAATTTGACCATAACGAAGGTTCTGTGCTACATTTAAGATTAGTATTTGAATTACCTTAAATATATGAGGTATAAAAGCATTTGATCCTACTACAAATTACACCACTTAAAACACACATGAAAGATGGCATACGTGAGACACATACTGTGAAAAGACTGGTATTTAACACGGTACTAATTTTCTGTAAAATTTTATTTTGTATTTATTCATTTGATTACAACAGTTGTTAACCAAGGGATAACTACAAGAAGCACAAGACAACTCGAATGTACAAACCAAACAATACAACTGTGACCAGGGAACAACTACTAGAAGTACAAATATTACAATTGAGCCTATAGGTTGTCAAATAACATATATCACAGTAGAAACTGTAGATTGTCAAATAACAGAGAATACAATGTAACCTTTAGGCTGTCAAATAACGGATGTTACAATGGAATCTGTATGTTGCCAAATAACAAACAGTACAATAGAAACAGTAGACTAAAAATATGAACCATTGCAGTAGTAACTGTAGGCTATCAAATAACATATATTACAAAAGAAAATGTAGGCTATCAAATAACATATATTACAGTAAAAACTGTAGGCTATAAAATAACATATATTGCAGTAAAAACTTTAGGCTATTAAATAACAATTATTACAATGTAAACTAGTAAGTGAATCCATTCCTCAAGAAGGAGGATTATATTTCTTGAAAGCAATGAGGTTATTGTGTTTTGTTTTCTTGTGATGAGGATCTACTTTCCCAAAACGATAGAATTATCTTATCATGGAAGTATTGTGTGTATTTTCTTGTGATGAGGATCTACTTTCCCAAAACGATAGAATTATTTTATCATGGAAGTATTGTGTGTATTTTCTTGTGATGAGGATCTACTTTTCCAAAACGATAGAATTATCTTATCATGGAGTTATTGTGTGTGTTTTCTTGTGATGAGGATCTACTTTCCCAAAACGATAGAATTATCTTATCATGGAGTTATTGTGTGTGTTTTCTTGTGATGAGGATCTACTTTCCCAAAACGATAGAATTATCTTATCATGGAATTATTGTGTGTGTTTTCTTGTGATGAGGATCTACTTTCCCAAAACGATAGAATTATTTTATCATGGAAGTATTGTGTGTGTTTTCTTGTGATGAGGATCTACTTTTCCAAAACGATAGAATTATCTT